AGGGTATCTGTGGAGACAGTTGTGTTTCTCCAGCAGTGGTCACTTGTAAACAGAACGAGAACTGCAGCAACGACAGGTAAGAACACAGCACATTTTAAACATGACGAAATTCTTTCTTTTTCTACTTTTTTTCAGTAAAAATATTTTCCAAGTTGACTTAATCCATCCAGTTGTGTCAAAGTAATGATTATGCACTATACTAAATGTGTAACATGACTGACATGCCAGTTGAAGAGTTTGTTTTGGAAATGGAGGATGGAAAGGCCATCAGGCTCAAACCTCAACCCTTTCTGGATCTTCACCCAGCAATAATAATCTAATTAGAGCTTTATGTCCCTGTCCTGCTTTTCCCTGCAATGTGGATTTTCCAGATTTGTAGATGTGGATAAATAAAAGTTAAAAATCCTTAACTGGAGTGGGTATTGTTATTTAATTTTAACTAAAATTACGTATTAGACTTTGTCTTTACATCCAATATTAACTTTTTAAGAAGTCATTGCTTTATAGAAACAGATTAAAACATGACACAACCCGTTTCTTGCACACACACAAAAGTATGGTTGTGTTGCTAAGGCCCATACGTTGTTACCAAAGACCAAATATAAGAGTCAGAAAAGCTGTCTTAGACTGTGTGACTGCTTTTGTTGTTCTAATAATGATCTCTTAATGCATGTGACTCATACAAAGTTTTTTTTTCCACGGCAAAAATGCATTAGAAGGCATAGACGTGGCTTTGCAAAGCAGTGACTTCACTCTTTTACAGAAGTATAGGACTAGTTTATTGAGCTCCCTCCTGGAGTGTCTGAAGGTTGCCTGGTGACTGCTCAGAGCTAATCACATTTTTTTTTTAAAAAAGGCTTTTTGCACTTCTACTTGTGTCGGGATTTATAAAGTACATATGGATTAAGTGGTGGATTTTGGATGTTTTGATAAACAGATCTGGCTCCTGGTCGGAACAGAGTTACAGATTCCCTGTTTTTCCAGTCTGAGTAATCTGCTCCCTGTACCCTTACATTTACTAAACATGAAAATGGCATTTGCTAATGCTTCAAGCTATTTTTGACACACACTATTACATT